AGCGTGGAGACGCCGAACAATAGAAAGAGGGAGAGGCGGGGGAGGATGAGGGTAGATGAGATCGGAGGAGAAGAAAGAGGAAGACGAGGAGGAGGAAGGGCAGAGGAGAGGGAGGCAGGAGAAGGAACTTGAACAGGATAACACATCTTTTTCGCCCGCCAGGTCGTTGGAAGCGGGGTCGCGTGGGAAGAAACGAAGCATCGCTCTTGACCGATCGCCGCCCGGATTTCTCTGGATCGCTGCGTTTCGCCAGGACGCGGCGCACGCTTTCTCTCGCGGGAGCCGGGTCGCACGCCAACGAGCGGAGTGCTGCTGTCGCATCTGGGCCTGCATTCACCCTGCATGCTGCGCTCCTGCTTATGCCCAGCACGTTCTATCTGCGCCAAGTCGTCGGAAGCGGGGCCGAGCGGATCTGGGCGCCGTCACCAGCTGTGCCGACAGTGCTTCCTACGCCAGGGAGGCAGGGCTGGATGGACGGGGACCGCAGGCTGGTTCGAGCACTCGTTCTCCCTCCCCCTCTCCTCGCTCTCCTCTTGCAGCTCCTCGTACTCCTGCTCCTCCTCCTCCTTGTCCTCCTCGTCTTCCTCGTCCGCGAAATCCATCCACCTTCACTATACATAACGCATCTGAGTCGCTCCCCGAAACGGGTCGGCAAGGCGTGCCAGGCGTTTCGCTTGAGACTCCGCCACCACGCATGATCCTGAAACTTACAAGTTGCAACTGTTTGACGGAAGGAGGGCGGGTCGTTCTCAGAATGTCGCTCTCGCCTTAGCGCCGCGCGCATTCGTCGTAAAAATTTGAAACAGTTTCACGAATCAAGGGTGAGCCGTTTTCAAAATGTGGCTCCCGCCTTAGCGCCGCGCGCATTCGTCTTAAAAGTTTGCAGCAGCTTCAGAGATGGAGGGCGGCTCCTTTGCCAAATGTGGCTCTCGCACTCGCGCCGCGCACATTCGTTTTAGAAGTTTGCAGCAGTTTCACGGACGGATGGCGGCTCCTTTTCCAAATGCGGCTCTCCCCGTAGCGCCGCGCACATTCGTCTGAACAGTTTACATCATGGTCAAGCATTCTTATGGCTGACGTCCCAGAAATGGTGCTTTGGCTCGGCTACAAAATTGTCAGGGCGTGGCAGTCGCATTGATTCGCGGTGTTGACGTCCCAGAAATAGTATTCTCCAGCAGCGTGAGCTCGCGGCCTTGAAGTCCCAGGGATGGTGCTCTGGCACGGCTGAGAATCTTCAGGCGGCTGTCTTCCAAAAGGGGCTCTTCCAGCAGCGAAGATCGACCCTTATAGTAGGAGCCTATGAATAGGGTGCTTGGAGGGAGGGTTGATTGCAGCATCGTCGATGAGTGTTGGGCCTGCACTGGTCGCGCTCCTCCTACAGTCGGGGCGTTGACCTAAGGAACCCTGAATGAGGAACGAGGCCCCTCTTTCCCATGAGTTAAACTTCGATTGCCCATCGAAGCCCTAAGCAAAACCAAGGGGCGAACTGCAACACAGCTAAGGAACACCGAGCCCCTCCCCAACGAAAAGGGTTCCTTATAGGAGCCTATGGAGAGGATGCTTGGAGGGAGGGTTGATTGCGGCATCGTTTAATGTGTGTTGGCCTTGCACTGGTCGCGCTCCGCCTGTTCTGAAGGGGCCCTGGGACACACAAACAAATACACACAAATAAAAGGATTCCCTATATCTCCCCATATTCTCTGCGTTTTTTTGTCTTCCCCCCCCCTTTCCATATTTTCTCATATTTTCTGGTGAATCGACGATTAATTGTGTCTGTGTGTTTCTTTCCCTTCTGATGTTCGCCTTCGCGCCAGGTTGGAGCACCCGGACCTCCGATCACGGGGCGCCTCCACGATGCGGGCCCTGAGGCTCTCGACCCCCTCCCCCGGGAACTGGAAGATCTACCTCTCCTCCTCCTCCTCCTCCTCCTCCTCCTCCTCCTCCTCCTCCTCCTCCTCCTCTCCCTCCTCCTCCTCCTCCTCCTCCTCCTCCTCCTCCTCCTCCTCTGCCTCTTCCTCCCCCTGCTGCTCCTCCTTCTCCTCCCGCCCCCACGCTTCACGATGGCCCCCCCTCCCTCATTCGCGTTGTCAGCTTGTTTTCCTTTGCCCCCTTGCCCATCTCCCCGAGCCTCCTGGAAGGTACATGTTCATGCAAGACCAACTGGATATACACAACTGCACTACATATCGGAGGTTGGGGGGTGAGATCGAAGTGGAACGGAGAGCCCCCCTGCGGGGGAGAGGAAATTCTCCTGTGGCTGGGCCGCGGCTGGACCAACAGGTTCTCCGCCCGGCAACCGGTGGCGCGCGGTGTCCCGCCGGCGTCCCGCTGGTGTCCCGCTGGTGTCCTGCTGGTGTCCCGTCGTGGCTGGGCCGCGGCTGGACCAAAAGGTTCTCCGCCCGGCAACCGGTGGCGCGCGGTGTCCCGCTGGTGTCCCGCTGGTGTCCCGCTGGTGTCCCGCCAGTGTCCCGTCGTTGTCCCGTGGTGTCCCGTGGTGAGATCGACAGTGAAATCGACAGTGAGATCGATAGTGAGATCGATAATGAGACAGATAGTGAGATCGATCGTGACATCTATAGTGAGAGATCGATAGTGAGATCTAGTGAGATCGATCGTGATATCGATAGTGATATCGACAGTGAGATCGTCGAGTGGGATCGATAGTGGGATCGATAGTGGGATCGATAGCTGAGATCAATCGTGAGATCGGCGAGTATCCCGTGGTGTCCCGTGGTGTCCCGTTGAGTGAGATCGATACTAAGATCGATGTGGTACCCGAGGTGTCCCGTGGTGTTCCGTGGTGTCCCAAAAAATAAACCGATAGTGAGGTCGATACTGAGATCGACAGGTGTTCCGTGGTGTCCCGTGGTGTCCCGTTGAGTGAGATCGATCGTGAGATCGATAGTGGGATCGATGTGGTGTCCCGAGGTGTCCCGAGGTGTCCTATGGTGTCCCGTTGAGTGAGATTGATAGTGAGATCGATAGTGAGATCGAGAGGTGTTCCGCGGTGTCCCGTTGTGCCCCGTTGAGTGAGATCGACAAGTGTCCCGTGGTGTCCCGTGGTGTTCCCTTGAATGAGATCGATAGTGAGATAGAGTGGGTCAGATGTTGGTTCCCCCCTCCCCCCCACAACCTCCTTATCACCCGAAGGGTGGTCGTCGGAGGTTGGGGGGTGAGATCGAAGTGGAACGGAGAGCCCCCCTACCGGGAAATCGATTTCGGTTTCGTGTTCGTGCGTGCCGTGCGGGCGAGGCGAAGCTGCGTGGGCGGGCGAGAGAAAGTCTCCTGTTGCTGAGGCGCGGCCGGACCAAATGATTCCCTTCTGGGCGGCCGGGGCCCCGCGGTGCCCCGCCGGTGTCCCGCTGGTGTCCCGTGTGGCTGAGGCGCGGCCGGACCAAATGATTCCCTTCCGGGCGGCCGGGGCCCCGCGGTGTCCCGCCGGTGTCCCGCTGGTGTCCCGTGTGGCTTAGGCGCGGCCGGACGAAATGATTCCCTTCCGGGCGGCCGGGGCGGCGCGGTGTCCCGCCGGTGTCCCGTCCGTGTCCCGTCGGTGTCCCGATGATGATGTTGATGATGATTATGATGATGATTCTGATGATGATGGTGATGATGATGATGGTGATAATGATGATGATGCTGATGATGGCGATAATGATGATGATGATGTTGATGATGATGATGACTTCGATTGCGAGATCGATTGTGATATCGGTAGTGAGACCGAATGTGAGATCGATTGTGCGATGCTGATGGTGATGATGGCCTTCATGGTGTTGATGTTTGTGATTATGATGACGACATTGATGATAATGATGCTGGTGATGCTGATGATCATGATGAGTACGATGATGATGCTGATGATGATGATGTTGATGGTGATGTCGATGATGATGATGACGACGTGGATAGTGATATCGATTGTGAGATCGATAGTGAGAGCGAATGAGACAGCGAATGAGGTCTTCTCTCAGGTTCTCCTCCACCACGCACCCCTCGGTTCTGGACCTCTCCTTTTCCCTCCTCCTCCCCATCTTAGCTTCCTCATCCTCCGAGGGTCTTGGGGGCCAGCGCTTCAGTCTTCTGTGGCCACTCCACTGGCATTGTCACAACAACATTCACCACTGTTGCCCATTGCTGGGCCCCTCCCCCCCCAACCTCCTTATCACCCGCAGGGTGGTCGTATAGGTATAGGTAATGTATATCGATATTCCGACTCCACGCGGTGCCCACGACAGCCACATGTTGTTGACGCATGTGTTGGTCATGTGGTCTGCAGGGGGGAACACAGCGGGATCGATGGCTGTCGAAAGTCGTTGTTCGATGGCCAAAGGAGGCCAGGAAAAACGCCCTTGGGAGGCGAAGCTGGTCTAAGAAAGAGCCCATCCGGCTTCTCGCGACATCTGAACTCATCTCCGCACAAAAAAAACACTCAAATCCCTCAAGTCCTCTCTCCTCCTCTCTCCTCCTCCTCCTCCTCCTCCTCCTCCTCCTCCTCCTCCTCTTCCTCTTCCTCTTGCTCATCCTCTTCCTCCTACCCCTCAATATCCTCCTACCCCTCCCGTCCCCTTCTCGTCTTCTTCCCTCTCCTGTCCTCTCCCCGCTTCGTGTTCTCCGCCTCCTCCTCTCCGGCCCCTGCTCCTCCTCCTCCTCCTCCTCCTCCTCCTCCTCCCAACTGGGGCCCGACGCCTTTCGCGGCGGGCCCTCGCGACCAGCCCAACGCTCTTTTCGCGTAGGATAGCGTGCACCAGCACCTGCAGTGAAAACGCGATTCACCTGCCATGAGCACCTGCTCTCAGGGGCAGCGGAAAAAGGAGGAGGACGTGCAGGAGGGCGAGCATATGCTACATGACTAAACTGAGCAAGCAGAGTAGAACAGAGCAGGAGGTGGAGGGAGGTGGGAGGATGAGGAGAGAAGAGGAGGAGGAGGAGGAGGAGGAGGAGGAGGAGGAGGAGGAGGAGCAACACCATCAAGAGCAAGAGACGTTGAACGTACGGGGTCATCATGAGGGCTTCTGCTTGCCGGATAGTGGGTCTCGCAATGCCTGCTTGCGTTCCTCGCGGAGAGCCCTCTCCTTGTAGTGGGCCTCATGGTCCCGGGCAGTCCCGTGCAAGTAATCCAGAATGCCGATGTTGCCGAAATTGCAGCTGAACAGCTCGTGGTGAAGGTCGTGCACGTTGGGCTGGTGGTCCAGCACTGTCATCCAGGGCCACTTATGGCCGCTGTGGTGCACCTGCGCCAAGGACGCTCCAAATAGCCAGGGTACGCGGGGGGGCGAGCATGCTTCAATTATCTCGTGCGCCCCCTCCTCCTCTCCTCCTTTTCAGCTCCATCCTCCTCTTCCACCTCCTCCTCCTCTTCCCCCTCCTCTTCCCCCTTCTCGCCAAACCAGGAGCACACGATACTCATGGGCAAGACTCATGACTTCACTTCCAGAAACGCGACAAATGGCATGCGGACATACCACCTGCCTCGACTGTAGCCGTGTAGCATACAACACTAGCGGGAGTTGCAGTGGCCATGAGGTCGGACATTGCGATGGCAGATCCACCTTCTTTGGGAAAGAACTTCAAGAAGCCGCCTCGCATAGGATATCTGGCGCAACTTTGCGGAGGCATGACTCCTGGAGTATTCTACGTTGTCTCACTGTATGTCCACACAGGCACAGGGATCGAGGTCTACAACGAGATGCTCCTGCAGGATGTGCCGGAGTCTCTGAGTGCCTTTGGACGGCCCATTGCGCTGGGAGCGGACTGGAACATGACACCACAAGGGATCCTTTCTCTTGGTGAGCTCAACACAGATCCAGCCACGGTAGTCGCGCCTGGGAAGTGAACATGCCAGGCAGGAAAAAGACATTACATGGAGTACTTCCTGGCCTCCTCTCAGATTCGCGGCAAGGTGAAGTCGGTGTACCAGATCGGAAAGCTTTCTCTTGATATCATTGGGGTGTTGCATCACCATCGAGCGATGACCGGGGTCTGTCTCGTTCGAGAAATGATATGCCCAGACCATGGCCCAAGGAGTACAAACGCCACCACACAGCTACATCGACGTCATATCGGAGGCAGAGCACGTCCACGACCAAGGTGACTTCACTAGGACCTCCGCAAAATGGGCAGATGTGGCTGAAAAGGAAATGATGGACCGCTGTCAGATTCCCTGGGGGGAACGACGGCAATGCCGTAGCATGGGTAGCTTGGACGAACCGCATGTGCACTACGAGGCGGCAACGCGCAAGACCGCACAGCAGGCAGCTGAAGGGATCAAGCGATCAAGGTGGTGGATGAAAGAACGCACACATGGCATCACTTTGGCTCTGGGTCCGGACAAAGGGATCTCGGGCCGACCCAGCTTGTGCAGAGCAGCGAGTTCACGAATGGAGGAAAATGATTGGACAGGAAGTTGTGCACAACAGCAGCATGGTGCATCGATGGAGCAAGGCACCACAGCTGTGGGTGCAAGTCGAAGTTGATCATCAGGGTACTGGCATCGAATCAAATGTGCAGAGGCTGTGCGAAGACTTGGAGATGCGGGAAGGCATCTAGGAACGGCGGCCTGAAGCACCTGCCCTCTGCGACTCCACCCTGGACTTTGAGGAGGATTAAAAGGAGGAAGCACCACCGCCATTGTCTGTTTAGCAACATCTAGCATCGGCCAAGCAGTTCAGCAACAAGACTGCTTCAGGACTTGATCGCTGGAAGCCAAACAACTTATTGCTGCTCTCAGACGATGCCCTGGAGTCCTTCGCTGCAGCCATGCACAAGGGAGAGACTATGGGCAAGCTACCTGAGCACCTGAGGAACAACATCTTGCCGCAGCTACAAAAAGCCTGAAGGAGCTCATTGACTCATCGGACGTCTACCAGACGCACTACGAGTATACAACGGCGCCATTAAGTATGATCAGGACAATTGAAATCGGCAACACAAACGAGATTGCGAGAACGCGCGGAGATTGCGGTACGGGAACATGCGACTATAACTGAGGCGACAAGAGCCTTGGATATGCAAGTGGCTGCATCATACATTGACGTGAAAAAACAGTCGAAACCGTTGGTCACAACATGCAGTGGCATTCGGCTTGCTGGATGTGGGTTTGCGTTAAGGATCGACTACACAGGCAGTGGTCAAATCTCGCGATGTCTTTATTCGTCGACGACTATACGCTTCAAACTGGTGGGACTGCACGGCAGGCCATCGATGTCGTCACCAGCTCTACCAAGGAGGCCTGCCGCCTCCTTACCAACATTCGCACCATCGTCAGCGTCAACACAACTCAAGTGAAGGCCACAGAAGATCGCATTGCACGAGATATTGCAGCAGCTTTGTCATGACATCAGTTTCAGTCACGAGAATGCGTCAATCAGCTCGGAGTTGACCGCAGGATGGCGCGAGGAGGTAGACAGGTACAGCAGCTACGAGCACGAAGGGGGTGGGGGTGAGAATTACCAAGTTCAGAAGGCTGGCGAGTGCATGTCGGGCGCTCAGTCGGCTGTATCGTGCTGAAGAACTAGCTGCTGCTAGTATGTGTTGGATGAGTCCATGGGATTTCGGAGACCCAACTGGCTAGTGTCAGAGCTACAACTGCAGATTCAGTTTGTGGAGCCCCACGAAGCAGATCACAGACAGTGGAGTTCATGATTTCCGACAACCCAAGGAGCGACCCGACGTACGACGCCAACGCATTATCGCTTGTGACGCGGCTCGAAGCAATGTGGAAGCAATGGGCGACGGCGGACCAAATGAAGCTGGCATTCAAATGCGCGCCGAGCAAGTCGGGAAATTAAGGCACAATTATTGGACCGGCTGGAGCGGTGCACTTGCAGGCTACCCTGAAGAGGATTGGGTGGCAGGGCGCCAGCTGGGACCGTTGGAAGAATGACACAAGAATCGCAATCGACCTGCAGCTGATGGGCAATGACACGCTCAAAAAGCTCGTCGACGCGAGGACGCACGTACAACTGCTGCATAGCATTCCACCTAGTCAAGGTCTCGACGGATTTGCCGGAGTCCCTCTTCTGGCGCCTGCTATTGGGATGGTAGATAAGCAGGAGGACAACTTGGGAGCCAGCCTCATCAGACCTTGGTTGGCAGGAGACTTGATTTAGTTCATCATGGAGCAGCTGTTTCTCCTTTGTTTGTACACGCCGTTCGTTTCTCATCGTGCTCATTTCCGAATGTGCTCGTTCCTAATTGTTCCTGGCCCCCTAGTGGCCTCTCCCTGATAGAACAATTAGAAATGAAAGGGTCTTGCCCCCCGAAAAAAACAAAGAACTTTCGAATACGTAGAAATTCACAATGTGTATACTTCGGTGCCTGCTTCATGCGACGGAGTGCCAGGACTGGTGCGGGGACGAGCGCCGCATGCTCGCCCAAGGCCGTGCTGAGAGGACCAAGGCATCCATGACAAACGTGACTTGCCACGCACTCTTCCCCGACATGGTTCATGATCTTTGATATGGTTAAGGGTTCCCTGAGATCCGACGCTCCCAAAAAATTGGAGCGGCGGGATTTGGGCAATTTTCGGCCTCCGGGGGCCCTCGCTGGGCGTCGGGGGCGTCAACAAACGGCTCGGGACGGAAAACCGGTCCTGGGGAAGTGGTCGGGACCCCTGGGGCCCACGCGCAAAAAAAATTGGAGCAGCCGGATGTCTGGGTTATGCTCCTCCACATCAGTATGATCGTGTGGCGGCTTGGGAAAGGAATCCACCTGGAGGTCACTTCCAAGGGATCGTGTGCACAGATGGCCCTGGAGTTGACCCACAGCATCCTCATTCTCAGCTGGCGCGCCCAGGCTGGCCATGCTGCATGGCCGACGACCTCGGGAACGTGCAAGGAGCTATCTTCGGGCCAAATCGGTTTTCTTGGACTTGTTTGGGATCTTGAGAGACAACGACGACGAAAACGACGGAGGATAGGATAGGATAGGACGCCGCCTGACGAAACAAGTCGAGGTCGAATGGCCACTGGCCGAAAACAAAACGAGTTAGGAGGGAGGCACAGGGGCAAGAGGATCCCCACCCTCCTCAGCCGCCTCTTCCTCGACACGGAGCGGAGGAGCCTCGGCCGCGGCAGGCGGCCGCGAGCCTAGCTCCTCACGGTGCCGTACTCTGTCGTGCAGCGCCTTCATCCTCACTTCGTAGCCGTACTCGGCCTTGGCGCCGAGGTCGCCGACCACCTGTGTAGTCTGGACCTGGCGCCTCGAGGCGACACTCACCTGAACGTTGCTTGCGGGGATCGCTGCCTCCAGCAGAGCTCTGACTCTGGGATTTGGCGCGAAACCCCGCCTGAACCTAGAAAGAACTTCGCCCCCTGTACGAGTGGGGGGCCTGCGCTCTCTCTTGAGCTTGATGGCCTTCTCTTGGCCCCAAGCTCCACAACGAACACACAGGAGCTGGGCCCGCTGGAGGTCAGATGTGGCTCGCGCAGACGCCAGCCTGGCACCCGACACTGCCGCCAGCCTATGCCCCAAATCCTGGATAGTGAACTGCTCTAGAAATTTTGGCGCCCCCTGGCAGCCTGTCGTCGGCAAGTTTCCTACCTGGGAGCCAACGCAAAAACGTTGCACGCATTGCCACCCCAGCTCACCCCAAACCCAGTCGTGCCACCCAGTCCTCACCGCCCGCCTCGCTCTCTTCCTGAAAGACAGCGGTCGCCGCCAGCGCTGGGCCTCCGAATCTTCAAGCAGGGGCAGCACCGCAGCCGCGACCTTGGCGAAATTGAATGCTCGCTCCTCTGCCAACTCAAGATCCCTGAGGAGGGCAGGGCTCGGAGCAGGGCGGAGGCAAGCAGCGTTCTTCGCCTCTCGATCGGCACGACTGTTGGCCAACGCCAGGCGCTTTTCAGCTTCATCTAATTCGTCAGTGGCCTGCATGCTGCGGTGGGCCTTGACATGAAAAGCAGTAGCATGTTTGCGTCCTGGCAGGGAGTGGGCAAACTTGTGGGCAAAACCAAAAACATTGGTTGCTTTCATCTGCCTGTCTACTGCATTGTCGAACTGCCTGATAGCACTCATGCAGTCAGCTGCAACCGAGCATGCTCTGTGCAGGTGGCCTGGCACTACTCCTTGCATTGCCCCGACAATCTGGTCTCCTGGCGCCTGTACAACCAAGGGCCAGGTCGCTCGCTCGAGCTGGCGCAGTCCTGGCTCGGAACATGAGCCATCAACTGCAAGATCGAGCACTGGGGAATCAGACAGGCCTGCTAATTCCTCTTGTTGAGTACCGAGAGAG